CCCCAAAAAATCCCAAGTCCCCTAAAGACAAAAGGAACCCCCCAAGGGCCCGGGCGCCTTTCGGAACCCCCCCCCGGGGTAAAAACTCCAGGGGGAAAGGGGGGGGTTGGGGGGCTTCACCCCCCCCCCCCCCCCCCCCTACACGACGGCGGCGAAAAAGCGCACCAAAGTTGGGCATGATCTTCAACAGCTTCCCCCGGCCGCGCTTGTGGGTGGGCGCTTCCGATGCGATCTGGTGCATGCCGATGTGGTACATGGGGAGCACCAGCGGCGGGACCTGACACGTCGGGGTCAACATGCAACGCCACCGGGACCGAGTGACGTCACTAACATCGCCCACGCGGGAGAGAACTGCTGGCGCGAAAGGCGCAAGTCAACTCCCATGCTTAGAAAACACATCTTGGTGAGGATCACAGCCACTTCAAGGCGGCGGCGGGTCTGGGAGTCGGGGACACACAGCGCGTTAAGGCCACCATCCCCAAGAGTTCGGTTGTGTTTGGCATGAATCTCCCGGTCGCACAGACCAGCGATGCAGTTCGACCGACAGGGCATATTATTCCACCAGAGGGCATTGTCCCATACGTCCGTACCAGTTGAGGGGTAGGGGAGTGGGAGGGGTGAGCCCTTGCCGTACCGACATGACTGCCACGCTCCTTACAGGTTCGACGTTTTCTTTCAACAATGACATGTCCTCCATGGCATGCAGAGTCGAGGCCGAAACGAGCCGGTCCGGAACAGTTCCGGAGACCAACGGGTGGCGGTGTAGCTCCTTCCCCAACTAAATAAGTATTTGTTGCTGTGTTAAGGTAGACGCTACGTATGTGCTAGCAGCACAACGCCCGTGAACCGAGAGACCGAAACCGCGCAACAAGACAGAAGCAATGTGCCGTGCTCGGTCGGCAGTAGCCAGCGCGGTCGGAATACGCGCCACGGAATGGACGCAGGAAATAAATTCGTGTGTCCCGAAACGGGCGGGCCCTTCAGCGTATCTTCTACCCGCCCCACAGCAGCATTTTCCATCCAAACCCACACACCTCGCTCCTTAGCAGAAGCCGGCCTATCCCAGCCTTGAAGTCCGCCAGGATAGGTTCGTCCCTGCTGAACCTGTGCAAGACCAAGAACAATACCGGAGGAGAAGGCGGGACGGCGATCTCTACCGGTCTCAACTGGAGAGGTGCAGAGTTCCGAACGGACAATCCCTTCGGAGGGAGACGTGTGTACTAATCTAGCTAGGCACGGTGTGTGTGCTCCAGCTTGCGGGTTTACATCTCCAGCGGAAGGGTATATAGTCGTCCCTGCTTCAACGAAACGCATGTTTTTTTCTCAACAACACACGTCCTTGAATCGGGCAGGGGTTGCTTTTACAATCCGCGGGGCACCATGCTTAGGAGCATGATCAAATGGTGGATCTTAAAGCTGGGAGCGTCCTAAACTTTTGTGTCCTTAAAGACGCGACGGCTGCTGAAGATACTAACTTACCCCGGCCGTTCTAGTTGTAGCCGGCCCGGAAACCCAGACGTTTCTTCCAAGCGCATCTCACGGTAAGCCCTCGGCAGACAGATCACGCAACTAGTAACTACCCACGCACGAAGCTGCAAACTTGAGCTTACACTGCGTGACTTCTGAAACCAACGGGGGCAGGTACATATCTACGTAAATCATGGATCACCACACGCCCATTTAACTCGGGGATTATCAGCTAGTGAAGCTCAGGGGGCGCATGAGCCGGCGAAGAGAAAACGACAGAGCCAGCCTACCTCCAGGGCTGGCGTATTGCTCCTTCAGCGAAGATGTGTCCCCATTCCCCTCCCTCCAGCTTTTGGAAGAACGCCTTCTCGGGGGGGGGGGGGGGATCATACAACCGACGAGGGGGGAAACGGGGGGTGACGACTACACAGGTGGGGATGGTGCGCGAGGCGGCTACAAGGTCAACTCGTAACGTATTCTGCGTTTCTGCTCTCCTTGGTGTTGCCCACCAAGAACGTTACCGACATCGGGCTACCTCGTCGTTGGTGCAAGTCGACGAAAGGCGATGTTGGAATGAAAGTTTGTTGTTCTTGCACCCGATGCCGCATTTCGTGTGTCGTCTGCAGCTTTACGTACCCGGCACGGGGGGGCGTATTGTCTGCGAATACTAGTGTCGAGACGACAAGAGGCTCACCAATAAGCGGTGTTCGCAAGGCAGACATGAATCAAAAAGGAACAATGGCACGAAACTATAATAGCGCGGGCAACCCAATATCATCTTCTCGTTATATAGCCTACTGAATTCTTCGAAAGTACATCAAACTTTCTGCCCGCATCAAACGAAATGCTTTCCTCTTGCAAACAAGATGGACGTGCCGTCTACGGCTTCTTTGCGGGCGCTACGTTCGGCTCGAGTGGTCTTCACGGCTTTGGTACCCCAAACATACCAGAAAAAAGATTGAAATGTATCAGGACTTTCGTGTATGGTTGCGTTGTTGGGATGCTACTTGGCATTTCGTAATGGACGGGGTTCAGCTGCGTTAACATGGGAGAAAAAAACTCCGCGGGCTACACCACATCGTTCATCCACGAGTTACAACAAGGACACCGCCTGAGGATTCAACATGCCCCGCACTCGCTACACCGTCGAAGGGTACAGCAGAGCGTGCGCCAACAGAACGAACGCTACACGAGAGTGAGTGCCCATGCACAGCAGCCGCATGCGACCCCTGCTATCATAGACGCGGAGGGGGGGGGGGGGGTACCCATAGTCGTGCATGCCGTAGTCGTCAGACCATTGAACTCGCATCCCTACAAAGCCGAGACGGAGCACGCCGGGTTCTCACCGGACCAGGCTCTCACATCACCAAGCGCGAAGCGCCTCAAGACGAGAAGGAAAAAAACCAAAATCCACCTTGAAAAGCGGCTGTTCCATCCCCCGGGTACGCTTGATGGGCAACGTCCTTCCGGCTTCGAAGATGTTCTTGAGGACAGGGTGAGCGTAGTAGATGTCGTCCGTGCACAACGCCCACCGCATTCTTCTCCTCCCCGTCCTGTTGGTTTTCGCGCACGCGCAAAAGCAAAGCGACAACACGATCGACAACACACCAGCACAGCAGTGTTAGTGCTTCGTGATTGACCAACAATAGCCTTGCCTGCTGCTGCTGCTGCTGCCGCTGCAGCCGCTGCTGCTGTTGGTGTTTGTGTTGCTGCTGCCGTTGTTGCTGCTGCGTCGGCAAGCGAGTGTCATTTCCACGCCCGGCAGAACTAGGACGCGTCCATCGTCGCTACGAGCATACAACTCGGGACATCCCTGGGACCCAATTTTTCTTATTGACGAACAACGCGCCCCAAGTCCTGCGACTACTACACAAGTCGGAACAATTCGCCACAGCTGGAAGCGCGCACACTGCCGTTGTCCTGTCCGACGCGCACTCTCGTTCTTCCTCACCTCCAGAATGGTATAAGAGCCGACCACAGCCCTGGGTCGTCGTACACGCACATGTGATTGCTCACTGTCAGCAGTCCCCTGTCCCCCCGGTCGAGCACGGCATCCAGCAACGCCTGCCTGTTGTGGCACTCCACCTTAGGGGCAAGGTGAAAGCGGCATCAGGCGGCGGCAACGAACACAGACCAAGCCGGGAAGAGCAGAGGTCGCCACACGACGAGACAGAACAGGACAACGTGTTGGCTGCTGATGCCCATCGAACCCTGCCCCGCAATCGATGGTGGTATTTCCTCTTTAATCGAGGCCCTGCATTGGGTCGGCCCAGTTCAGCGCGTTGTGCAGAGCGGAAACCGACCTCAAGCATACCACGCTTGCTTCCTCTACCCGTCGTTAGTGGCAACCACGGAGTACACGAAACAACATCTGGTCCTTCTTCTCGGCAAAACCAAGCCAGCGCTATCTGTTGGCACTGCCATGGGTTATGGCACAGATGGTTTGTTGGAGACCTACTAGGACAGAGGTCACAGCTTAAGGAATGCGTGTGTCGGGAGTTCAAAAACAAACACGGACAAATTTCGTTCGATTGTATTCCAGCGATCTAATTCCACAATATGGCGTGTTCTTTGGCGGAGGAGGCGAGGTTCGGTCAAACACACCACGAGCGTCGAGAATGATGTCACCGTATCTCCAGCTAAAAAGAAATAAATCAAAAGAGCACGTGAGGTACCCCGACCTATGTTCGTTCGTGAGCCGCTTGGGGAAGGGAAGCACCTTCATTCTCATCGGCAAAGCGTCGGTAATAATCTTGGGGGGGAAACTTTGGTAACGTTCATGTGGAAAAGTCGGGGGGTGTACAAAAATCGGATCGAAACGTCGCCCGCCAGCAGGACATGTCTCGCGGTGCTCTGAAAGAGCTGCCATTGTGTGCTAAGCAGATTGAGACCCCACGACAGGAGAACATGACCGGGTGCTGCTGTGGGCTGCTACATACGCACACACGCGCGAGAGGTAATCTCAGTCCTGAGACTAATTGCGCGGCAACACACTGATTGTACCTTATTGAGTCCCTTGAGCAAGAAGCGGAAGACGATCCACGTGGTCATGATGGTCAAGTACGACAAGGCCTTGGAAAAGGCACGGCGGAAAACACCGCGAAGTGACTTGGGCTTCTTCCTCCCTTTCACCCCTCCCACGCCACCCCCGCTGCTGCCGTCAATCTCCCGGTGTTCGTTGGGCGCCGGGATTGCTGCCGGGATGGCAATCGCCGCATCCAGCATGCCGAGAGACGTCTCCGCGCGTTGCTGTTGTGGCTCCCCCGCAGGCGACGCCGCCGCCGATGCCCGCAGCTGAGTCGCTTCAGTTGTCGTGCGATGTCGCTCACGATTTCGGCTGCTCGCGGGCGATCCTTTTCCACCGACCCCGTGGTACCTGGAATCGAGATTTTTGTTACGAAACCGGATTATTTAATACCTTTTCACGAGAAACAGAGAAAAGCACAAGCGACAGTGCACACCGTTTAGGCAGTCAATCGTAGGAAAAAATAAAAGATGAAAGATGAACCACGCCTGTCCTCAGACAGCCCTAGTCCCAACTGGTGCTCATCCACTCAGAAAGCGTAAAAAAAACTTGGAATGCCGGAGGACGAGAAAGGCAAAGCAGGTTCTAACCATCCGTGGCCGGCCAACACCCACCGGACCAGGCTCGTCGGCGACAACCCATGGTTCCCAGCTGGAAAGACGATAAATTAAAGCGGTAAGTGCTATACCGTGGGGGGGGGGATGGGTTCGCGACGTGTTCTCACACAACCAACCGCGGTTTTCTTGGCATCTTATGCCATGGACCCCCGATGCGTACAGACCGGGACCGACAATCCCGGGCCAAAACCGACCGGTGACGCCTTCTGACAGAATCCGCTAAACCCGACATTCATCGAATTGGATGGTAGGCAAGTGTAGGTGTCATTTCTCAGAAGAAAGGACTGCACGTCTGTGTCTCAGAGCCCTCGCCAGAATCATACCAACAATTGGCTCTTGTAGCCATCCACGAAAAGTCCTCCAATTGGTTAACATTAACTGACTGGCTTCGTGTTGTTTGAGCCTCGCAAATTTGGGCTTTCAAAACCTTCCTCTTGGTTCCGCCCGCCCCAGGTGCGAGGGTTGTCGTCGATGCAAAACCCTCTCTCTCGACACTCAAGTGGCCTCCAAAGTAAAACGATCCCGAAGGAACTAGCAAGAATGTGTATTGACAGTCTGGTATCGAGAAACGCAGCGTGTTCATGTTACCATTCGCCACGGGTGAATCAAACCCCAACACTCCCACGCGGTTCTTTAGTTTCAGCCAACCCAGGCCGCCCCACACCTCAGGGGGGCCCGAGAGGGAGCAATTCGTAGTTCGTGAACTGCTGTTTTCCTCGACAAGGTTGAGTGCGTGCCCCTGTGTAAGCCTTGCCGTTGACACGTGGCAGGAAGACTTCCTCTAGTATCTACTATTAATATACTATGTAGGGATTTCGTTTTAGTAGGCGCACCCGAACCTTGGGTTATCTTCAGCACACCCCAGTAAGTCTCTTCCCCAACCTGGGTGATTGAATCTCCACTACTGCTGTTTTTGTCTTCGAGCATCTCAAAACACAGCCTCGAGGTGGTACCGGATGCGTGGAGTCGGCCGTGCTTTGAATGCAACCGTGCTAGTGAGAGGTGGGCGATCGATCCACTATTAATTATATGCATATTATGCTCCACGACTTGACGACCTCCATATGTATCGCCTCTATCGTTTTGTTCTGCCTGCAATCGATCACCCTGTGAAACGCTTTCTTCACGTTTCCAACACATCGGCACTGCTGGGGCGGGCATACATTTGTCGGTCATCTGTTGGTGAAAACTGGAGCAGGAAACAGCGACCATCTCACTCTCAGCGAAAGGGACAGAACAGACAGGGTGCATAAGACTACATGCATGTATGAGATGCGAGTTCGCAAGCTGCTCGAAAGAACAACTTACCTTGAAGCCTGAACATGCTGGCTCCATCCGGCAGGACCGCAGAGGAAAGCTTGGGACACGACGATTCTGCAGAGCAATAGAAGGGAGACAAGAGCTTTTGAAACAACGCTCATTCCTTTCCAGCGAGCCATAGTGAAGCAGTCGGTCAGCTGTCCGTGTGGTACTGCCATCTGGCGTTAGATCGGCGGCGTCGGCGGCGGCGAGGCAAAGGGGTCTCTCACTGAGAATCGTAGGTACCTACAAGAACCAACATATTTTTTAGCCAAAAAAAAAATTAAAATGTGCCGAAAAGCAACAAAAAAAAACCGCGCCGTGGCGTAGCCGTTAGCCGAGCAGCCGAGCCATCACACTTGCCCACACCCTCTGCCCCACAGCAGGAGTACAATCACGCGCGTGACCAAGAAGAATAAACGCAAGGAGAGAAGACAGAAAGGCCATCGTGCTCCGTGAGAGGAGAGTCTCGAAGCGTTTGCTCCAAGAACATATGCACCGCCGGTGGTGGATTTTTTCATTTCCTCATCACGTCATCAACGGCGGGCTTCGGCCAGACTCGGTGCTACAACCATGGTCTCAGGAGGGAAGGTCGCAAGGCTAGCAGGGCGATTGCTGGGACTAGGTACTACAACCATCCTGGTCGCGGTCGGGGCATCGTCTCCGTCTTGGAACCAGCGGGCGTCAAGCACCACCGCTGCTGCATTCCTGCAAAGTAGCTTGACTACTGCTGTGAGGCCACGGAGGTCGCTGCCCTCTACCGCCGCGGCCGAGAGCTGGGTTAGACCAGTGGTTGGGGGTTTGGCACGACGTCCAGTTGAAAGCTCGGTGGACCCCAACAAGAGAATCAGGCCCCTCGCGATGACTGTATCGGTGCTGTTGCACGACGAACCGGTGAGAGACACAGCAGTGGCTGCTCTCTTGTGTATGCATGTAGGCTACAGCAGTACAAATAAAGTGTGCGGGACCGCGCGCGGTTCGTTGAACCACCCCCTTCGGATCCCAGCTTGTATCGACCTGCGACGGTCACTCTCCCTCTGGTCTGGTTCGCTCCTACACAGCTTGATGGTTGTTTCCCCCCCTTTTTGCTTTCCGCATGCTGACACCCGATCGCCATGCAGCGCGCTATTACGCACATCCTCGAGTTTTCCCGCCCGTTTATCCTCTGGCTCGTTACGTCAAGTCATGGTCCGTCTCCGTTCCGGCCTTCGCTCACGCTCATGCTGCTCATGCACAAAAGATCTCCTTCGGAGGAAGGCGGCCGTTCACGAGCCACGCGGCACGGTGGTTCATAAAGCGTCGTATCCTGTCGACGGCGAAGGCCAGCGCGGCCCTGAACGTCGAAGTGGAGGCGAGGAACAACCGAGACGCGATGAGGGGCCGGTGGGAGAGCATTAGCATCGACTTCGCGAAAACGATCTTCGAAGACATCCAGGTAAAAATTGCATTTCATTCTGCCTGCCTGTGACGAAGCAGTGTTGATTTTTGGTTTTTGGGTTCGCCGTTGATGTATGCATACATACAGTACAGCAGCTGCCAAAAAATCGCCAAAACTGAAAATTAAAAAACACTCAAAACAGCGCACACCCAACAATACTTACTTCTACAAACAGTCGTGCCGAGTATTGCGACAGACACCTGTTGACATTGGTGCTGCACAAGCCGGAGTCTTCGCAGGTTCCTGCCGACCGAGCACGCGTGCTTGTCTAAGGAGTTGGGTCGTCCTCTGTACATGCTCTGTGATGAGCACGCGTGCTTGTCTAATGAATTGGATCGTCCTCTGTACACGCTCCCCATCGTTAGAAGTCTGCAACCTGCGACTAATATGGTTGCGTCTCCGAGGCCCATAAAAATAATCAGGTCCTGTGTTTCGTTTTACCTGCCCACTCATGAGAGAACAGCAGTGTCATCAAGGGGGTGATGTCTACAAGATGATAATGAAAACTTGAAAAATCTGGCTGCCCGCTTCGACGTCGTCAAAGCTCGAGCAGCCCACACAGCTTACGTGTTCATCATCGAAGAGCCCAGCGAACCAATAGGGAACGAAATAAAATCTTTACTAAGCAATTATTATATCTTATTTCATAGTGACAAAACCATCCACCCCACTCTCCAAAACCTCTAAGTATTTATCTTTGTGAGCAGTCAGCCTACCTCACGAACTTCTCCTAATTCTCTTTTCGCCTTTCGAGAAAGTAGCTGTCCTGGAAATGTCTTCAGATCACGTATCGGTTCGGCGCGGTTCGAGGATTGGTTCCTTTTCCAGCGGAGAAAGGTTCGCAAAATTCTCGCAAGATCCACTCGAGACCAGTTGTTGTGTGGGCAGAGTTGTTTTGCCCGAATATTTCTTCGTAACGACTTTCAGAGCTGAAAACCACAGCAGTGGAGTAATTTTATGTCGTGGCGGCGCTGTTGTGTGCCTCTAATTGAACTTCTGCATCTGTAGCTTTGCCCGATGCGAATTGTGTTCCGATACCGTGGTGTTCATATCCGAGCAATACAGCAATGGTGTAACTCGCATTACAGCAGCAGCTTGACGGAAAAAATGCGGGTCCGGCTGTTATATTTTTGCCAACTTTTAGGGGAGGTTGCTGGAAAACACGAATCCCTTTCCGACTGAAAATGCGCTTCCGTGCCATTCCGTAGTAGACATATCGGGTGCGTTCATCCGCATTTCACGCATCACGCGCGCCTCTCCACACGGGAGAGGAACCGGCGTGAGGGCGGAGGCGACCACAATAGATCGCTCAGTGTGTTGCATGCCGCGGCGGATTCTGCAGGTTGATTTAGAGCGATAAATATGTTTTTTTTTTCTGGACTTGTTGACCGTAAGAACCGGGTGCTCGGATAAGAACCCTACACGCCAACAAACCAATCGAATATAGCCGCCGTTGAGGCACCCCCCCACTCGAAGGAACATTTTTTTAGACACACCCCGAGCTTTTTAGAAGACATTGGTACTAACCCGTTCGGGAAAATACCACAGCAGTCGAAGGGCATGGTGTGTTTAAAGTTTTTTTGTGGAAGAAATTCCGACTGGAACCCTTGTGAAACCATTCTGCCGTGCTGTGCTTGCTGTAAATACCCCAGGTGAGCGGAGGCGCGTTCGAGCTCCTCGGCGTCGACGTCCTCACGCTCGGGCTGCTGCCGGGCCCGTGGCGGCGCCTCCGTCGCCTCCGCCGGCCTTGCGAGGCCATCGGCCGGTCGACCTTCACCGACGTGGACGTGGCCTACTCCCCCGCGATCCGCCGTCTCGCCCAGCGCGTCGTCAACCACGCGCTCCGACCGCGCGCGAAGAGAGCGGCCGTCGCCGCCGGTGCCGCTGCCGGAGGAGGAGGAGGGGGAGGAGGAGGAGCGGCGGCGGCAGGCTCGCTACCGGCCGCGACGACCGGCGGCGCCGTCTCCGACGGCGGCGAGCCGGGCGCGGGGTCGGAGCAGCAGCAGGGCGGGCTGGAGCCGTCGGTGAGCGTCTTGGGGGTGCGGGTCCACGGGAACAAGCTCGCCATCGAGGGGGAGATGACCAACGGGGGAACGTTCTTGCGGGTACCCTTCCGGTACCATTTTTCTCTTAGCGCTTCCGCGGACGGGCACGTGCTGTACTTCAAGGGCTCCAGCGTGTACTGGGGCACGCCGGGGGGACACGTGCCCCTGCCCATGATGCCGTTGCAATCGTTCAAGATCGACTTGGGTGACAGGTGAAAATACGCCAGTTTTGTGTAGCGGGACAAATAACACGAACACTTTCTGCGTGTGTGTGTGTGTCTTTAATTGGCATGGACCGTGTGTGTTTCTGTCTTTCTGTGGTTAGAGGATCGACCGCGCTAAACGGCTGATCAACGAAGACGCGTTCTGTCTTGTGTGAATTTGTAACTGTGTAGACTATCCCATTCCAGATGATCCGTGTGGATGTTTTCGTGCCTTGTGACTCGGCACGACGTGTCTGCTAGGCGTGCGAATATGGCGCATCCACCCCACGAGCCATTGTTTCATGGAGAGTCGAGATGCCATTTTTGTGCTTTGAGGGGTGCATTGGTGTTTGGATGACCTTCATCGAATGCGCCAACAGAGTGACTCTCACGAAAATGAAATCACGAACCTCTGCGGCCAACCTCCAAGTTGAGAGTGTTCTGGGCAAGAACAAGACCGACCACCAAACGATTTTCTCGCGCGATTGGTGCTCTTCGACTACCGCAAGGTTGCGAGTCAGCGCACAGGGGTGCGAGCTATTTTCAAAGCGTAATTTCTCCACAAGCAGAGGTCACAATACCACTGTGGAAAAGGGCGGTTTTGGAAGTATCTCGTCGAGAGCTTTCCTGAGAAGTATCAGTTGGTGCTATTTAGCACCCCTCCTGGTTGTGGAGAAATTACGCTTTGGAAATCGATCGCACCCCTGTGCGCTGACTCGCAACCTTACGGTATACAGGTACCACTGTCTGCTCGGAAATATAGGGACCATTGGTGGCATTCATTCGCGTTTGTATCCGAATGAGCCTTATCTTTTTGAACGGAAGTAGGTGGTAGTTGATACAGACCCAGTGAATCCGAGCAGGCAGGGAAGCGTCTACCTTCCGTCTCATGTCCTCCTCGGTTACAACCCGACTTCCCTCGTGCCCCCGCCGCCTCCTCAAATCTGCTCCGTCCGCTGCCCTGTTTTCTGCTGTGCTTCCACACGTTTTTGGTGCGGTGGTGGTATGATCATAATAATAACGCAGGGCGAGAATCGAGCACCTGAGGATATCTCGTGGCGTGCTCTCCTTGGGGGGGAGGTTCATCCTCACGAACACCCCGGGTTTCACGGTAGCCCTCCCGGGCTTGAAGAGGGGCGACATCAACTATGACCTGGCTGAGAGCTTGAGCCGGCTCGTCAGCAACTGCCTGAACTTGCGGAGGGAGTGATGCGGCGGCTGTCGTGTCGTCACATGGTGCCGCTTGAACCTTCTTGTCCTTATGATGGCCGAACGAAGCGCTCACCTCAGGACGTGTGAGAGTAGAGAACCGAGAAAAGAGACTAATGGCGGCGGTATTTAAGTCGTACCGCCCGGTTTGGTCGGCTGACGTCGGTTGGCTGGTGCAAGCGGTATGGGGCGGGAAGCATGAGGGTGCCCAAAAAATAGTCATACCAGTGTGTCTGTTTGCTGATGGTGTTTTTCTTGTGAGCGTGGTCGTTCTTGTCTTTGCAGCGCTGTAAAGTCGGGTGCCTTCGGCAGCTGAAATGCTTCGTGCGGTATTGAAAAAAAAATGTTGTTCCAAGGTTCACGGGTAGGGAGGGAGTATATTCTGCATCGCATTCTTTTATCGAGGAGGTCGCGCTCCGCATATCGGAGGGGGGCACACGGACGAACGCATCGGAAGGGCATCGGCAGACATCCCCGTTTGAAGGCGGTCGTGTTTGGAGCGGAGTTGGAGTTCGGGAGGGGGGGGGGGAGGGCGCACGATTTTCGACGCCCCTCCTGGGCGAATCTATTTCCCACTAGAGCTTTCTGCAGTAGTTGTATACGACGTGGGGCATTCAGGATGTAATGGTGGAAGGGTTCCGTGCACGACGACCATGAACGAACGTTGCTGGTGTGATAATCACCGTATTCTAGGTTGGTTGTTATTCCGTGATGGCGGAACGGCAGAAGGAGTGTGTTGGACGCATGAATTGTCGCCGAAAAATGTTACGCAGTTATTTAGTCGGTTACATTTCTTTAGTCGCATGTTCTGGCCCGAAATCGTACACAAGAACAGAGCCTTTTAGATGGCCTGTGGCTTGCAGCGGCCGTGGACGTCATATTACAGCGATATTTTGGGAGGGGGGGGGGTGGGGTCTCTCGCTTAGTTCTTCCTCTTGTTGTTGTTGTTTGCTGAGGTCTTCTCGGCGCGGTGTCTGTGTATGTACGATATGCATATAATTGCGTGGTTGTGTTTGTAAAGTGCACGTGCACTACGTCAGCGGTCAAGCCTGGGAAAACCGCTTGTATTTGACCGTCGTAGGCGTGTTGCCGTGCATGGTTTTGGGTCTGTTTTTTTTTTGCTTTTGCTGTTTTTGTTGAATTTTTTTGTACTGCATGTTACCAAGTTATTGTTTTTGTGAGTTATGGACGTTGCTGTTTTGATTTTGTCGCGGGTTGGGTTAGGACCCGTGAGTTGATTGTTGGTTTCTTTCGTGCTCTTGGTGCCGTTTGTTTTTGCCGTGAACGTGGTGAAGCAGTAGCGTCGTTTGAAGCGGACTGCTGGCGTGGTAGTTGAGACTTTGCATTTGGACTTGAAATAGGAAAGGGCAACAAAACCTTTCTGAGGTTTGCCGCCGTGATATCTTGTACTGTTACACACGCAGCTGTAGGAATAGAAAGTTGTTGCACCGCCATGAGGGGCCTAAAAAAAGCTGATACTGTACTGGGCTAAAAAACAATATTACAAAACAAGGATAAAAAAGTTATTTTTGGGCAAGCTCGAGGAGGAGGGGCCTAGTCGTGCTTCTACACCGTGGTCGCCGGAGGTGTTCAACGTGTGGCTTGTGAAGGCCTTCGATGGCATTGTCTTTGTCCCCTTGCCACACGCTTGGGGTGGCCGCTCCTGCCGGAAGGGGCAAGCGCGTCGCTCTACCCCGTGTGCGCCCTCTAAACAAAGCCACGTCGTGGGTGGTAGAGAGGATACTTCTACGTCTTCGAGAAGATACTTGACGACAGCAACACAAGCAGCGGCAGAGCGGCACCCACCCGCACATACATGGTCGTGCTGAAAAAAGTCGTCGTGCGTGGAGCCGCCGAGCAGGTAAATAACAGCACACCCCAAGATAAATACAATCTACATATACACACGCCTGTCTGTATGCATCGGCTCCTCAATCTAACCTCGGCACGTGGTGAGTAAAACGCCTCGGTTTTGGAATAGGTAATAAATCTACACACACGGCGTATACATCGAACCTCAATCAGTGGACAAAAAAGCGCCTCTGTTTTGGTAAGAATAACATATCTGCTCGCACGCCGCAAAACATCGACTCCTCAATCGAGATTCGGCACGTGGGTCAAAAACGCCTCCGTCTTGGTGTAGATATCGTCCCTCTGCGTTATCCCTTCCGGTAGGCCGGCAACTGGCGGCGGTGCCGATATGCGTTCCTGTAAGTCGATGGAATACGGATGGGGGCGGGTAGACGTTTGAGTGCTTCTCGTGCCCCGGTACATTCAATCTACTGTAGGAACCAAAACGGCACGCTGCGCTTGGCGCGCAGGTCCGGGGGCAAACTGACACCTCTGACTCTGCAACAAAGCGTACAGGACGTCAAGCGATTGCTTTCTTTCTTCGCTCGCCAGCAGCTTAGTGGGCTTTTTTGTTAGCGAGGGTGCGGGAGCTAAACGGTTCATAAATTTCATCCGAACCCCTAAACGGCTTGCGTTCTTCACGAGTTCCTTGTCCAGGTACAGCTGGTTCGAGAAACTGGAGATCATGGCGTTTCCAGTAGCACGTATGTGTTGAATAGCAGGTCTCCTGTCTCATTCCCAATAATTTTTTCTGCTCTGACGATCTGGATGGAAAAGGCCTTTCGGTCATTCCACCCCCTCCCCTATAGGTCAATGCGTTGGCACGTTGACCACTTTCCTCCCTGCTAGATGTAAACGTTGGTATGCATACAAATTGTCTAGGCTACCGAGGCCCCTTTCTCTCACCATGGCCAAGTCCTGCTGCCTCTTTCTGGCGAGCTTGGACGTGAGGGTGGCTTTCTCCGTCTCGTCGGCCGTCTCCATCCGCTCCGCCAGCTTCTTCTTCCGCTCGTCGCTCTCGATCTTGCGGAGCGTTTCCGTGTGCTGCCGGCTGCTGCACAGCTTGAGGAACGTGCGGCTGGGCACGATGTCCTCCATCGCCTGCTCGTCATCGCTCTCCAAGCCGGCGTCGACGCCAATGCCGCCGCCCTCCCCACTCCCCCCCGCTCCCCCCCGGCCACCAAGACCTGGACTGGTCCATCTGGCACAGTCGTTGTCGTCGCTGTTCTCGAGTAACCGCTCCGCGCGCACGCGGTGGGCGATGCTTCGCACCCGGATGTTGTTGCGCATGGACGGCACTTCTTCGGCGCTGGCGCAGGTGCTATCCGGGCCGTTTCCTGCGGATCCCATATCGCTGCTGTCCTCGGCGTCTCCCTGCCCGTTCCCTCCGGCGCTCACGCCGCCGGCGCCGCCGGCGCCGCCGCCCCCGCTGCCCCCGCCCCCCCCCGCGCTCGTGAAACGGGCGGTGCTCGCGTCGTGGGTGCCCGAGACCACCTCCAGCATGATGCTGAGAAGGGTCTCGCTGAGCCCGAGGGCCTTGACGGTATCCCGCTGCACCTCGGCGTCGGTCTGCTCCTTCATCCGCTGCAGCTGCGCGCCGTCGACCGCGTCGAGGAGGAAGGAGTAGGGCTGAAGCCTCTGCCACAGGCTTACCGCGCCCTGCTTGACGCCTGTGAGGGTGTTCTGCAGGCGCTCGTGGGCCGCCTTCTTCATCTTTGCCTGGGGTGGTGGAGGGGGTTGGGGCCGGGCGCGCGAGAGAGGGGGGAGATGTGTATCGCAGCTAAGCTCAGGCATTCCTACGCTTGGGTATGGGCGGCTGCAGAGGGAGACGCGTATTTACAGCTAAGATCGGGATTTGTATGGGTGGTGGCGGTAAATGCGTGAATGAATGCGGGGGTGGTGTAAATAGAACAACACGGCTGACGAGGTTCACGGCCCGTTATCATCGTAACACACCTCGGTAAACTTGGATGCACCCGATTAGCCTTAGCCTCGAGTGCACAAAGGCGATGCAAAACACACAAACGAACGAGTGCCAGTTTTTCTCAGGGGTTTCTACACCCGTGGGGTCCGCTTGTGTGAAAAGTTACTTCATGAATACCAGCACGAACCGGCCAGATATCATAAACCCTTAAGACTTGCAAGTGAAAAAAACGGGGGAGTGGCCAAGTTTAAGTATACAACAGGGGAGTGGGGTGTCGCAGAGACTATATGTTCTACCGGGCGTGTTGAGCATGTCGGTTCCAGGAAAGTTTCACTTCTCCCCCACCGTGACGTTTAGTTGTCGTTGTATGTGTCTGTCGGCACCGGTGGGCTGTTCCCCGTTGTTGGGATAGCCGAGAAAAACGCCACAGCAACAGCAAAGGTCATACCTCCACTCTGTACTCCTTTATGTCGTTGTTGAGCTTGTCGCTGATGTCCCGGTTCAGCTCGGTGTTCCCCACCCCGCTGGCCTTCATGTACGAGAACCGGGTGTCCTCGCTCTGCCTTGCCTCCTTCGCCCTCGCGAGCTTGCTCTCGGCTTCCCGCTTCTCTTCCTCCAGGGTAGCGTGGTTCGTGCTCTGGTTGGCCAGCTTCAGGACCATCTCCTCCAAGGTGTTTACCCCCGTCGCCTGGCGAATGCGCGCGAACGTCGACTCCATCGCGGCCACCTGCCGTTGTTGGGTCTCATTCTGCGCCCTTATCTTGTTCATGGAGGCCTCCTGCGGGCAGGGGAAAGGCGAGGGCACATTGATTGAGTGCCGCTGAATACCTTCTTTCCTGGCCGGGCCGGGCGAAAAAAGATACCGCTGATACAGGTGGACGAAACACGCTGACGGCTTCATCGTTGTGCTATGTCTTAAATTTTTGATACGTCGTCGGGCGGAACCGCACGCATCCATCAATGGTGGCGGTCTGCGAAGTCTTCGAGTGCACGCGGGGTAGTGCAACTGCAACCGCAAGGGCAGGGCAAGGTCCAACCACACTCTTTTCGATCCGGAACACCGTGCAGAAGCCTGCGGAAAGTATCTAACACGAGTTAGGCCAACTAACAAATGGCGGTCCTTGGCCTAGCTATACTTAGATGGCAAGGAACACCTTTTCCCCACGCTGCTGTGTCTCGCGTGTTTCTCCGATGCAGGCGCACCTCTGGAGACTCATCTCCGTCCA